GGTACTAATCCCTCTAGGATTTTCCAAGTGTATATTATCATATATCGCTCTCGCCTGCATTCCAGGGAATACAAATCAAGGGACTTCAACCGTTCCCAGTAATTTAGGTGCCTTATCGTACTTATGTGTGCCGTGAAAGTTTTTTGTACACTCTCCAGGCCAGTAATTTCGCTTGCCTTGAAGGAGGCCGTTAGTGTACAGCAGTATTCCAGCCTAGAGAGCACAAGCGATTTGAAAAAGAATCATCATGGGCTTGGCGTCCCTAGTTTTGAAGGTTCTCATTACCCTTCCTATCATTTTCCTAGCAGATGCGGTAGATACATTGTTGTGGTCCTTCACATTACTTTTCGCTCTGTTGTATGGTGAGCATTTGTTTTATACCTTGATAGTTTTTTAATTTCCTCAAGTTTTCCATATCTGAGTAGTTGAAATTTCTCTTCAATGAACTTAATATTGTTTTGAGTGGCCCATTTGAAGATATGGTTGATGTTCGCTAGTAGTCTTGCGGTGTCTTCGATGGAGGTCACTGTCATGGCAATTTGGGCGTCATCCGCAAAGGAAGACACGGAGCTATGGCTTACATCTCTGTCTATGTCAGATATGAGTATGAGGAATAGAATGCCTTGTGGAACAGAGCTTTTCACCGTAACTGTCTCAGACTTTACTCGGTTTACTGTTACTCATTGTCTTCTATTTGTCAGGAAGTTATAGATCCATCTACCAACTTTTCCTGCTATTCCTTTATCACGCATTTTGTGCGCTATTGCACCAGTTAGTTTAAGTTTAATATGTTTATTATGCACCCCATACCCATCCTGTGGGCGGTAGTCAAAAGATTACAGAGGTACATAATTGGTCCAGGGACTGGACTCCAAAGTTTTGATAGCTGAGCAAGTTACAGAGGTAATGAACTCACAATTTACAAAGGTAATGAACTCACAATTTACAAAGGTAATGAACTCACAATTTACAAAGGTAATGAACTCACAATTTACAAAGGTAATGAACTCTCGAAAGCTTTTGCAGTCTGTGTATACTAGACCTATATCTTTACTTGAAGTCACTGGAAAAGTTCTTGAGAAGGTCATTTCCAACAGATTGAACTACTATATGGAGTTTAATCACTTGTTCACTGAAAAACAATTTGGCTTTCGAACACATAGAGGTACCAATCATGCAATAAATGTTATTTTCGATATTGTAGCAAGTCTAAAACATCAGGGCAATCTTGCCTTAATTGCCACCAGAGATGTTCATAAAGCTTTTGATAGCTTATGGCATGATGGCCTTATATACAAACTCATTGACCTACCAGACCATAACTGGACTTTTCTCAGAGTAATATATAATTTCTTAACTCAAAGAAAAATCATTCCCACCTTTCATGACAGGTCGACAGAGCCTTTTATACCGACAGCTGGTGTCCCACAAGGTTCTTGTCTCAGTCCACTTCTGTTCAACATTTATGTGAATGACCTTCCTCAACCAGAGTTTAATGATACAATTGTGACACAGTTTGCAGATGATGTTATTCATGTCGTCTCATCGATTCCGGTAACAGGAAAATACAAGTATGAGAGAGTCATAGAAAAAATGAATATTGAACTTCGTAGAACATCTAATTGGGAAAAGAAATGGAGAATTACGACTAATCCTGACAAGGTCCTTGTTAGCACGATAGGATGTTTTGCATCAACAATTGAAGATAAAGGGGGTATCTCCATCAGAGGTACACCTGTAGTCATTAGAAACCCTAACAAGATTTTGGGATATGAAATAGACAGGCTGCTCCACTCAACATCTCATGTAACTAAAAAGATCAACATAGCCAAAGCCGGTCTTAGCAGTCTCTTTCGATTCAATCAAGCCCCTCAACATGTCAAAAAACATCTGCATAAAATGTTAATACGACCTATACTCGAATACCCTTGTGTCCCAATGTCATTAACAACAAAGACCAATATGCTACGGTTACAAAGGGTCCAGAATAGAGCTCTTCGCTTCATTACCGATACCAGGAGGAGAGACAGAGTTAAAATGGCAGATTTACACATACAACAAGATATTACTGCCATAAATGTACGCCTTGACACCCTAAAAAAGAAACAACTCTATACAATGCAAGAACCATACATGCCAGATAGAGAACATCCTATACAAGTGGTAAATACCACGGATTATATCATCAATACTCCTCACAGGACTCAAAGAATGACTCTCCCACAGAGGGTCCGTCGTTTTATACATAAAGATGATTACCCTCGACCCATGATATTGAGCAACCTCCCTGATGTAGAAGATTGGGTAACACCAGAACCCTTCTATGTATACTGAGAACATCATCGCCCCCAATTAGGGAGACATCTTATATGACAATCTAATGTAAAAATTGTGCTATTTACTATGGCTGGACACCACCTGTAAGAAGCCATTGTGACGGAATTCTATAAACTGGCCAGAAAATTATTGCCTTCATTGTCGCATAAATATCCGTTGTGCAATCGCAAAAAAAAAAAAAAAAAAAAAAAAAAAAAAAAAAAAAAAAAAAAAAAAAAAATTGCAACTTGTATAATTACTACCAATTCAGAGTCATGTACATATATATCTGTTATATCTATGTGACTCTGATGGGTTAGTATTATACCCCTTAAAGAATATCTTATCATTTCACATACACTTTTTAAATTACACCAAAGTGGTTGGGCCACTTACCTTTTATATCCTACCTCTCTCCCCCCTCCCACCCTTTTCCAAAATTTCTATCCTTACCCATCCTTCTTCCTTACCCATCTCACCAAAGCTCTGGTCTGGACGAGAACGAGAACATCTGTGTTTTGTTTATCCTCTACAGCATCCAGGACCTTGTCATAGTGGTCCAGTAGCTGGGACAGGCAGGAGCGATTTGCTCTAAACCCGTGTTGCCCTGGGTTGTGTAACTGATGGGTATCTAGGTGGTTGGCGATATTGCTTCTAGAACCCTTTCAGAGATTTTTATATGGGATGTTAGTGCTATCGGTCTGTAGTTCTTTGCAATTGCTTTACTGCCACCTTTGTAGAGTGGGGCTATGTCTGTTGTTTTTAGTGAGTGTGGGGATGACCCCTGTGTCCATGCTCCCTCCCTATCCATAGAATGCTGAAGGCACGTGACAGCCCCTGTCACGTTCTTGATGAACACAGAGTTCCATGAGTCTGGGCCTGGGGCAGAGTGCATGGGCATGTCATTTATTGCCTTTTCAAAGTCTCTTGGTGTTAGGATAATATCAAATTTTTGAGATGACCAAATTTTGGGTCTCGTTCATAAAGAACTGATTTGGATTGTCGACCCTTAGTCTGGGTAGCGACTCGCTGAGCACTGAGTCGTATTGAGACTTGAGTATCTCACTCATTTCTTGGCTGTCATCTGTGTATGTCACATGAGAATATTGAACAGGAATATCGAACAGGAAACTTTCGTGTAAACCGTCTTCCAAACACCTGTTGATTTCTAACTTTCGTTCTATACATTTTTCCAGGTAACAACTAAATTATGCACTCTTCAATAATAATATCACAAATACTCCACATAAAATACACATAATCAGTCACCATATAGGCTAACGCTCGTTCCATGTCTTCAATAACCTAAAAAAAAAAATTAACAGCAAGTAACAACTGTACTTCTCGTACTGCAACGTGCTTGATGTGATAAATTAATATAAAACCACCTGTGCTACGACCCATACGGGTTTACCGCTTGTTACTGATGAACCAAATGAGGCTTCGCAGATATATATAAAATAACCCCGCTAATAAAAGTGAAAATAATACGAGGAGAACGGACATGTAACCTAAGAACATAACGCCTCTACTGACAGTAATCAATGCAGGTATAAATACTAATTTGTATTAATGGAATATCCTGCTGCATGCAAAAAGGTTACGATCATTTTGCATTCTTAACGTAACTGGCTTTTTTCAACACGTAATTACCCATCCTTTCCACACGGAGGAGCTTCAGCATGCACTGGTTATTATACATTAAGAGTTTACGTCATATTTTAGCGTTAATGCAACTATATAGGCTGAAACAGGAAACATATAGCCTATCCTTTCCGATGTGCAGATTCTGGATTACGATAAAATTACCAAGTATCAATGTGCCACATCACATAAAGAGATTGTGATATGTCGAACTTATTCTAGGTGCGCGCATAGCGGAGATAAAACACCTCAATTACTGGGAGCGCTTGAAGTTCCTGAACCTGTACTCCCTGGAACGCAGGCGGGAGAGATTATATACACATGGATTATATACATGATTATGTACACCTGGAAAATCCAAGAGGGACTAGTACCGAACTTGCACACGAAAATCACTCACTACGAAAGCAAAAGACTCGGCAGACGATGCAACATCCCCCCAATGAAAAGCAGGGGTGTCACGAGCACGTTAAGAGACAACACAGTAAGTGTCAGGGGCCCAAGACTGTTCAACTGCCTCCCAGCATACATAAGGGGGATTACCAATAGACCTCTGGCTGTCTTCAAGCAGGCACTGGACAAACACCTAAAGTCAGTACCTGACCAACCGGGCTGTGGCTCGTACGTTGGATTGCGTGCAGCCAGCAGTAACAGCCTGGTTGATCAGGCTCTGATCCACCATGAGGCCTGGTCAAAGACCGGGCCGCGGGGGCGTTGACCCCCGGAACTCTCTCTAGGTAAACTCCAGGTGTATGTCGTGATTAACAGTGGTTTTCCTATCATATACTTGGACGTTTTAGTCAAATTAATTATATGGACTTCAGATTACATCATTCTAAGGAATAAAAAACACAGAACAAGATTCGACATATTTTTAAATTCTGTATTTATAGTAGCAAATTGCTTCACAAATATAACCCATACATAGTTATTGTTACTAATGTTGAGATCTGCTAGTGTTAATGAGCTCACAAAAAAAAATTTGCTGGGAATTTTTTGAGGAAATAAATGCCACTGAATACGCTGTATACATATTATTTTTTATTGATGTTGCACAGACATACATTATAGCATTAAGGTAAGTTAAATTAATACATAATTGATGTGTTTGTGTACATTTAGTTAGGATGTGTGATCCACCCGTCTCTAGATTTTCTGTAGTTTTTTCATATCTTCATGTGAATTTTTCCTCTGATGGCTTAACATAATCGATTTTGCTAAACTAAATTAGAAATAAATTTATGTAAAATTTTAATCTTCCCTTGTATCCACGTACCACTGAATCCGGCCGAGCCATGAACTGTACCACACTTAGTTGTATTATAAATTCGTTGACTAATAAATACTGTTTGCTTGATTTTATAATATTTCAGACTACATGACTAGTTGAAGTTACCGAGGGGCGTGAATCTTGGATACATTGGATAATGTGACAGACATACAGTGGACACCTGTAGTGATATTTTGTGAGTCGACAAAAATTCTCCTGACATGTGATAGTTTGATCAGCCAGGCTTTTAATGATAAAAGTACAGTACACAGTAACAGATTGTAAACTTTCATTGAGACAACGTTTCGCGTGGAGACTAAGCTCTTTCAACTAGGACGTTTTTTTAAGCAATCTCACAAAGTTTTTTCGTTCCACAAAGTTACAAGTCACTAGTTTGAAAGTCGTGTCTTTACAAATTACAACACCTTATAACATAAATTCATACTTTCTAACCCGGTCTGCCATTCCCTCGTAATACAAAGGATTAACGCACAGTGTAGTGAATTTTATGACCAATATTAGCAATTGTGTTAATTGTTCTAGTTGTTAGGTAATATGTTCACTTTCAACAACTATATAATGTTAAAAAAACTATATATACAGTAACTGAACTGTTTAAATATTACCGTTTATATTAAACTTAAGTCCATATCTAGGGTAACCTATGGTTACACTCCAAACTCCAGTGTCCAGATTTTATCTCTGATAAAATCTGAACACTGGAAATCTTTTTGATAGCATTTCTTCTAAACATAGTTTCATGATATAATAATATCACTCTTCGCGAATCTTGTATATGTTCATTTTTCATTTGTACTTAATTAATGTACTTAATGTACTCGTCCATAATTTACAGTACCCTCCATTACTCTTTCAGTGTAAAATCGTACAGGTAAAAATGACACATCGAATCTAAGCTAGGCTAACCAGCATCCGTATCTAACCTAGCCAAAACCTAATTTGCACCTAATTTGTTCACATGACAGTAAATAGGTACCTGGGTGGCTATCCCTCCGGGTTAAAAATCCAAACAATTCTTATTTAAACCTAACTTACCTTAACCTGTCTTAAGCTAACTTTACCTAACTACAACCCCTACCTAACTTTAGGTAGGTAATGGTATAAAGTACAGATAAGATGAGAAATGTACACATTCGATTACATTGATACTTTATTGACAATGTTTTTCCTATACAGTCTTAATGATGTACAACACTTCAGCCAGTCAGGTAGCTAATTGCCTGGCTACCAGGCAATCAGCCAGGTAGCCAGTCAACCAGGCAGGTAGCGAGTCAACCAAACATTAATCAAGTAGCCAACCAACCTACTCACCAATCAGCCATCAACCCGTCGCCAGGTGTGTAGAGGGAAGGATGCACCTGATTGTGGGAGCTGAGCAATGGGTGCCGTGGCTAAGATTCACACATCACGAGGTGACGGGGAAACTTACCTACTCAGGCATCATGCACAACCTCCTCCTCGCTCTCTCCCAGACCATGAATTTTACGTGAGTACAACAAAAATATTAACAATTTATTTAAATCCTTTCAGGAATTATAGGGTATGTTTAACGCCTTCTACACATGTCACTATTGTAATCATTTATTAACTAAAAATAATAAAATTATAAATACAAACGACTTGTACTGTACTAACTCGGTACGTGAATCAATGTAGATAAACACCTAATTGAGATATACAATCGAATAGAAAGTCACAGTACCGTGGTTGGAACAATTCACCAAAAAAACATTTAAGTGAGGAACCTTATGACCATGTTTCAGTCTGTCCTGGATCGTTGTTGAATCACAACTGGGGCGAGGAAAGTAGCGATGGCCATCTCTACTTTTCTCGCCTGTTGTAACTTGACACTTGCCAAGGGTGGACTGAAATGTCGTCATAATGCTCGTAAGTGCAGGTTTTTGGTGAATTGAGATTAATTTGGAAAAAATATGCCTTTAAAACTTAACTTTTTTTTATCGTTGCTCTTATGTTTGTATAAGGTAGTGTGTTTGTGTATTAGGTGGGAGCTGCGGCGTCCTGAAGACGGGTTATGGGGAATTAGATTCCCCAACGGATCTTGGAGCGGCATGTTGGGAATGGTGAAGAGAGGGTACGTGTTTCGCCTCAGCTTTGCTACCCCACTAGTTCTTGCTGGTCTCTCATACCAACACAGATATATACAATATACTTGCCATGCACAGGAGCAAGTATTGTAACTCATATAGCTAGTTATCAAGATGGAAAATTAACAAGTGTGGCGAATAGGATACAAATTTTGATACTCCTGTTGAATAATTCAGCAAACTTAAAAGGGGTGGACTGATATGCCAACGGAAGGCTTCGCTCAGATGACCATCGTCAGGAAACACTTGCACTTTTTAACATTTTACGGACGAATATACCTAACTTAGCAGTCAGTGCGAAGATCTCGTGATTTTTACTATTAAATTGCATCTGTCCAGTCCTTTTTCATTTGTCTTTATACAATATTGATTGTTCTTGCTGGTCACGTCAAATTTGCATACACCTAGCCTTGATGCAGTCTTCACACGCCCAGCCTTCTTGAAGTCTTCACACACCTAGCCTTCTTGCAGTCTCCAGACACCTAGCCTTCTTGCAGTCTTCACACACCCAGTCTTATTGAAGTCTTCACACACCTAGCCTTCTTATAGTCTCCACACACCTAGCCTTCTTGTAGTCTTCACACACCTAGCCTTCTTGTAGTCTCCACACACCTAGCCTTCTTGCAGTCTTCACACACCTAGCCTTCTTGTAGTCTCCACACACCTAGCCTTCTTGCAGTCTTCACACACCTAGCCTTCTTGCAGTCTTCACACACCTAGCCTTCTTGTAGTCTCCACACACCTAGCCTTCTTGCAGTCTTCACACACCTAGCCTTCTTGTAGTCTCCACACACCTAGCCTTCTTGTAGTCTCCACACACCTAGCCTTCTTGCAGTCTTCACACACCTAGCCTTCTTGTAGTCTCCACACACCTAGCCTTCTTGCAGTCTTCACACACCTAGCCTTCTTGCAGTCTTCACACACCTAGCCTTCTTGTAGTCTCCACACACCTAGCCTTCTTGCAGTCTTCACACACCTAGCCTTCTTGCAGTCTTCACACACCTAGCCTTCTTGCAGTCTTCGCACACCTAGCCTTCTTGCAGTCTTCACACACCTAGCCTTCTTGCAGTCTTCGCACACCTAGCCTTCTTGTAGTCTCCACAACACCTAGCCTTCTTGCAGTCTTCACACACCTAGCCTTCTTGCAGTCTTCACACACCTAGCCTTCTTGCAGTCTTCACACACCTAGCCTTCTTGTAGACTCCACACACCTAGCCTTCTTGCAGTCTTCACACACCTAGCCTTCTTGCAGTCTTCGCACACCTAGCCTTCTTGTAGTCTTCACACACCTAGCCTTCTTGCAGTCTTCACACACCTAGCCTTCTTGCAGTCTTCACACACCTAGCCTTCTTGTAGTCTTCACACACCTAGCCTTCTTGCAGTCTTCACACACCTAGCCTTCTTGCAGTCTTCACACACCTAGCCTCCATGAACTACTCTTCAAATCTGCTTTTCAAAGGGGTGTCTTGGTGCTGTTGAAGGGCTCTTCATCCGAGGACTCGTAGTTATCCTCCTCTTTCATGGATCAAGCCTGATTACCTCCCATTTCCCAGGCGCTGTATGACCTATACTTTTGCGACACCTGAGCGTCTCCAAATCAATCGCATAAAGAAACACTCAAGTAGCCATTCTTCCCCTACCCGGGGGGCCAACGCCGGGTCACCATCTGGATAAAACCCAGGCCGGGACAAGACCGGTGAACCTACTACAGGTACAGTATAGCCATAGCAACTAGAGCATTACAGACCTTACCGGGATCCAAGTGGAGAACCTTGAATTAGTCATCGCAGTGGTTTACATAACCTTCTGGAAGCTGTGTCTAGAAAACAGCACGAAAGCTAGGAACATGTCGAAATGAATGCATCTGCGCGTGCAGATGTGACAAACTGAATAACGCATGTATGCAACATCAGAACATCACCAGGCAACTGATAAAATGAAATGATGCTCGCGGAGTGAAGAAACCAAACACCTACAAACGAAAATTACGCAGTTAACACGGAACAGAGACAAATTTCATCATCTCTGAAATATTAGCACCTGACAATAAATCGCTTCTACTATCAGCATGGGCCAGTAATCATATTGCAGTGCTTGTTCTTACTTGGTGACCTAGCCCCACTTGCTGCACATCACCATGTTCCCTTTATACATCATTTGTGTGCTTATATTGTTTGCATTGCTTGGTAAAGATCCTAGATAGCGAAATGTAGCCGTCATATGTGTGTCATTAGTTGCTCTTGTGCCATTTTATTTAATATTGTGGGTAATTTTACCAATATTTGTTAATCACTGTTTAAAGGAAGGTTTTTATACACCAAAAAGTGTGTACTTATCAGTGTATAAAGTTGAAAGTTTACTGATATGTCAAGATAACATCCAACATTAATGAGCTTTGCGTAATCGATAGGCTTAAACGTAATAAAATAATTTCCTCCACAGTGAAGTAGATTTCGCCCTAGGCCCCTTCACTATCAACTGGGAACGGTACCACTACTGTTGTCAGTTTAGTCAACCCATCTTCATGGATTACACGAGTGTCTTCATCCGCAGGTCTGGGCTTCAGACAGACCTCTTTGCTTTCAGCCGACCCTTCCAGTGGCAGGTGCTGTTGGTAACACTATATATGTAGACCCTCTAAAACTTACAACCCTCACGGGTTATACGCTATTTTGTGAATAAAATAATAATGTTTGTAACTCAGACATTTCTGCCTATATAAGCTGTAAACCCCTACGGTTCGTTGTTTCCCAGTGAATATAAATAATAATTATCATAATTGCGAACAACTGTCTAAAATTATTTTTTTTATTTTAATCCCTTCAACAGAGGTGCTTTGAGACCAGTGAAGGGCTCTTGGTCCAAAAAAATCGAAGGTATGCTCCCTTTTCTTGGATTGAACCAGAGTGCCTCCCATTCCCCCAGGCACTGTATGACCCTTATGGGTTTATCGTTTCCCCATGAATATATTAATAATAATATAAACGGAGTATGGACTGGAACTCGGGTCTCCTTCAAGAGAGCTACCCTGCTATCCTCCCTTGTCTTGGATCAGATCTGACTGCCTTTAATTCCCCAGGCGCTGTATGAGCCCTACGGGTTTACTGCTTCTTTAATGAGTAATAATAATGGAACTCGGGTCAATCAGTTGGCACTGCCACACTTGTACTATTGCTACATGATGGCTCCAGCCCTGATTAAGTAAGTGACAAATCCCACACCTGTACTTCTGTGACACGATGGAGCGATATTGAAAGGAGGTGAAAAGAGAACACATTCTTGACCCTAAATTACAATATCAATGTCATCATGGCGCTAGGGTGTAGGTGTGGGAATGACATTTTATATTAACTGGTTCAGTCCTGTTAGACAATTTATTAAATTCTTGAGAGTGTGACCTCTTAGTTTGCATTGACTTCACGTCTGTGTGAGTGCTTGTCTGCCTGCCGCTGTTTCACACTATTCAAAAGGGGAATACTCTAATGTTGGTGAGGGGCTCTTGATCTAGGAGACTGGAAATACCCTGTCCTTCTTTGAATCAAACCTGATTACTTTCCATTTCCCAAGGGTTAAGCGTTTCTCCGTAAATATACTAATAATCAGCAATGACTTTAGTCATGTTAAACAGCTTATTATGTGCGCGTGCAGGTATGGCTTGGACTGGTGGCTGCAGCCGTACTCACATGGATCGTCCTCTTTGTCTTCTTCTACCTCAGTCCATACGAACAGCAAACAGTAATAAACGAATATAATAAAAAAAGCGAGAAGTCACAAGCTAAGCAGAAGACCAGCACAGAGAAGTCCCCAACAATGTGGATTATTGGAACACTCTTCAATCAAGGTCAGTTATTATCTTAGTACTCTTGGTGAATGATAGGTGACATGTTGTGCACGAATGGTATATAATACCGACAAGATGAGAGTAAGACACATGTGCAACATCTGGGTATCTTTATTGTAGACGTTTCGCCATCCAGTGGCTTTATCAATACAAATTCTAGGACATAACTTGAAGACAGTAGAACTATGTACAGAAGATGAGGTAATCAGCACCTACTCCTAGGTTGAGGGACTGATTACCTCATCTTCTGTACATAGTTCTACTGTCTTCAAGTTATGTCCTAGAATTTGTATTGATAAAGCCACTGGATGGCGAAACGTCTACAATAAAGATACCCAGATGTTGCACATGTGTCTTACTCTCAGGTGACATGTTGCAATCAGTCGTTTGTTATATCTTAACACTTAGTGAATGATACGTGACATGTAACACTCAATTGTGACTGAGACGTGACATGTTATAAAATCTGTTAACTCTGTACTCTTGGTGACTGAAGCTTAACAAGTTGCCACCGCTCGTACTTTAGTAGTTAAATCAGAGCTCTAGTTTAATAATTTCTGAAATGCTTTTATTAGGGGGCAACTGAGAGCTTTATGTAGTTACTGAGTGCTTTGCGTGTCGATTCATCGTTGCTGTCCTCTCCTGAGCCGTCTAACAACCGAAGTAGCGATTGCTTAACAATAGCTTTCTCTACGCAGATAAGACTTTAAATTTCTTTTCCATGTAATATATAACTAATGTACGTCATAACAGCTCCAACAGAGAAATGACGCTATATGGCACTTTCTGTATTTCCTCTGAACTTAGGACTAGCAGATATCTCAAGTAATTTTAAGCTGACATCTTAGAGGTAAAACTATTCTTACTTCTTATGTATACATTACTTTCAGCTAGTACACTGGTGCAATTACTCGTATATTATTTACTTCCTACATGCAACCCATAGAGGTAACCCCTACAGGAAACCTCCTTCAGGAAACTTCCTACAGGAAACCTCCTACAGGTAACTCCTACAGGTAACCCACGAAATCGTAATAACATGATTGCCAACAAACCACGGAACGGGTGGGGTTTGAACTCGCCGCCATGGGTTCAAACCCCACCGGTTCCGTGGTTTATTTTTACTGCAGGTGAGGCTTGGATGCCTGTGAGTGCCAGTAGACGAGTGATGACAGCAGTGTGGCTCTTCTTCTGTTTCATCTTCATTTCTGTCTTCTCCAGCACTCTCACAGCCATGCTCTCCATGCCCAAGGTCAGTGTTCTTATTCTCAAAATCAAATATCCCACATTATGTGGCTACCATGATCTACATGACACTAAGAATTTAAGAGCAGCATAGGAATAGAAGAGCACTATAGCAAGCCTACTGGCCCATGCAAAACAGGGACCAGGAGGCCTACTCACCCAGGAATTATCATGTTTACCTAGCGCCCATCATGAATGGTGTTCCTGCCATTTGCCATCATCTAGATTATTTTCCTAATAAGGTAACGAAGTCTGTCAGCCTAAGCTGGAATATTTCAGTAGGGGAATGAGGATAACCTCAAGAATTTCAGTCTGGGCTTCTAACAGGGCTGTAGTTACTTTTACGTGGTGACTACCCTTTGGGATGACGCTCTCTGAGATTGTGTGCTTGTCCAACGCCTATCGCAATTAGAGCCTAAAATTTATTGGAATTACTCAGTAAAGTTATCATATTGACACAAACCTTCAACAGTGCTTGTTTGTTTGAGCATATATATAATATATATATATATATATATATATATATATATATATATATATATATATATATATATATATATATATATATATATTATATATATATATATATATTATATATATATATATAATATATATATATATATATATATATATATATATATATATATATATTATATATATATAAGACGGAAATAGATAGCAGATTTAACAAGGAGCTTTAGGAAAGATAGGGGGTGTGTGGCCCAGGTGTTTACAGTGAAAATATAAGTGAACAGTATTTAGAAAAGGCTAAAGAGGTCTTTGTGGCATTTATGGATTTGGAAAAGGCGTAAAGACAGGGTGGATAGGGGGGCAATGTGGCAGATGTTGCAAGTGTATGGTGTAGGAGGTAGGTTACTGAAAGCAGTGAAGAGTTTTTACGAGGATAGTGAAGCTCAAGTTAGAGTATGTAGGAAAGAGGGGAAAATTTTTTCCAGTAAAAGTAGGCCTTAGACAAGGATGGTGATGTCACCGTGGTTGTTTAAAATATTTATAGATGGGTTGTAAGAGAAGTAAATGCGAGGGTCTTGGCAAGAGGCGTGGAGTTAAAAGATAAAGAATCACACACAAAGTTGGGATTGTCACAGCTGCTCTTTGCTGATGACACTGGCTTTTGGGGAGATTCTGAAAGAAGTTGCAGAGATTGGTGGATGCTTTGGGTAGGGTGTGCAAAAGAAGAAAAATTAAAGGTGAATACGGGAAAGAGTAAGGTTATGAGGATAACAAAAAGATTAGGTGATGAAAGATGAATATCAGATTGGAGGGAGAGAGTATGGAGGAGGTGAATGTATTCAGATATTTGGGAGTGGACGTGTCAGCGGATGGGTCTAGAAAGATGAGGTGAATCATAGAATTGATGAGGGAAAAAGAGTGAGTGGTGCACTTAGGAGTCTGGGGAGACAAAGAACTTTGTCCTTGGAGGCAAAGGGGGGAAATGTATGAGAGTATAGTTTTACCAACGCTCTTATATGGTGTGAAGCATGGGTGATGAATGTTGCAGCGAGGAAAAGGGCGGAGGCAGTGGAGATTCATGTTCTGAGGGCAATGTGTGGTTGTGAATATAATGCAGAGAATTCGTAGTTTGGAAGTTAGGAGAAGTGCGGGATTCCCAAAAACTGTTGTCCAGAGGGCTGAGGAAGGGTTGTTGAGGTGGTTCAGAATGTGGAGAGAATGGAGCGAAACAGAATGACTTCAAGAGTGTATCATCTGTAGTGGAAGGAAGGCGGGAGGGTAGGGGTCGGCCTAGGAAAGGTTGGAGAGAGGGGGTAAAGGAGGTTTTGTGTGCGAGGGGCTTGGACTTCCCAGGCGTGCGTGAGCGTGTTTGATAGGAGTGAATGGAGACAAAATGGTTTTTAATACTTGACGTGCTGTTGGAGTGTGAGCAAAGTAACATTTATGAAGGGGTTTCAGGAAACCGGGAGGCCGGACTGAGTCCTGGAGATGGGAAGTACAGTGCCTGCACTCTGAAGGAGGGGGGTTAATGTTGCAGTTTTAAAAAATGTAGTGTAAAGCACCCTTCTGGCAGACAGGTGATGGAGTGAATGAGGTGAAAGTTTTTCTTTTTCGGGCCACCCTGCCTTGGTGGGAATCGGCAGTGTGATAATAAAAAAATAATATATATATATATATATATATATATATTATATATATATTATATATAAATATATATATATATATATATATATAAAATATATATATATATATATATTTATATATAAAAATATATATATTATATATATTATTTATATATATATATAAAATAATATATATATATGTCTTGCCGAATACGTAAAACTTGCTATTTTGGCTTAATAACGCTCTTCTTGTTGAATAAGGCAAGAGAAAATTTGCGTATGCAGTAATTTGGCAAAAATCATTCTAAACCTAACGAAAAAAAAAATATTTCATTGTGTTTGTTTATTATTAAATTATATTGTAAACTTATCTAAAATATATTTAGTTTGATTAGGCTAAATTAAATTGCGCTTGTTATAATACAGTTAGGTAAGTTTTCTAAGACTCTTTTGATACAAAATTATTAATTTTTACATTAACATAAATGAAAAAAAATATATATTTAAACGTATAAGAGAATTTTTTAGAAAGGACTTAATTTTAAATGAGTTCTTACTAAATGACCAATTTTACCTATTCAGCACGACACACACGAGCGAGTGTGTTTTTGTGTGGGGAAGGGGCGTTGCTTATCAGAACACTTGTATGCAAGAGAATAAATAGGCAAGATGTGGCAAGAGAGGGGTGGCTGTTTGTTAGGCAACAGGTCGTCTATTAATTTCTATTTGGTATACTTCCATTTGGTGTAATCTAAGGTTTTAAGTGATGGGAGGCTGCTGAATGTCAACGGAAAATCTATTAGATTACTTACACTACGTAGATATTCAGGGAATATGTAACATTTTCAAAGTAGTCATAATGGTAATCAGAAATGGAGTAGATGTGTATATTAAATGGAGATTTGAGAGAAAGATTTAATGGAGGTAAATGAAGCAGGTATAAAAACCCTTTTGTTCAGGCTGACTTCCCTTCAGGGAGGTTGCCTTCATGCTAGTGAAGAGGTGCACATATATGGTACACAATACTGACAAGAGGAAGAATTAGACACATGTGCAACGTCTATGTATCTTTGGTGTAGACGTTTCGCCATTCAGTGGCTTTACCAAATTCAAGGACATAATTAGAAGACAGTAGAACTATATACAAAAGGTGAGGTAAATAATCAGTTGAAGAGTACTGTATTTGTGAAGAGTCTAACACAGACATGAAGATTGGTTCCCACCAACAGTATGAAGGACTTGGCCAGTCAGGGCGGGTATCATGGACTGTCGAGTCTGGTTCCTCATTTTTCCAGATAATCAGTATAATTAATGTATTCCCTGCCCTGCATAATGTATATAAGCGCCAATCCTCATCCCTGTGCTTCAAACTCTTCACGACTACGGTGCTCTTCACCAATTTCGAGACTGAGGGACTGATTATCTCATTTATCGTATATAGTTCAACTGTCTTACAATTATGTCAGTGAATTTATATTGATAAAGCCACTGGATGGCGAAACGTCTACAATAAAGAAACCCAGATGTAGCACATGTGTTTAATTCTTCATCTAGTGAATAGGTCTTAATCCAGAGAATCGAAGGTATCTTTCCCCTCCTTTTATCAAATCTGATTATTACCTCCCAGTCCCCAGTTGCTGTCTGATCCTTACAACTTTATCTATTCCCCATGAATATTATAATAATGATCTCAGGTTGTTGTGCCCATCGACAGCATGAAGGACTTGGTCAGTCAGAGGAGGGTGCCATGGACTATCGAGTCTGGTTCCTCATTCTTCCAAATAGTCAGTGTAAGTAATGTCTCCTCTGTCCTTTGTACTGGTCATGTTGGCAATGTTATACTCACCAAATTGCAATAATTAATTTGTGATTGCGGGGGTCGAAATCTCGGCTTCTACCCTCCCTTCTCCACTACTCACTAATAGTCACACTATTTTTAAACTCATGGGCAGTGTCAACTCTTGTTCATACTTTTGCACGTTTTTCTGCTAAATTCCTTACATTTGCTGCGGAAACTTAATACATGCATTATTTAAACCCTTTCAGGAATCGTACAGATATCTTGGTCTAAGTCAGTATAAAATATGAGCTTTGTATATCTCAAATAGGTATATAGAATATTATATTTTTTCAGTTCTAAATACAATTTCCTCATGTGCTGCAATACTTATGTGTACCACTGAAGCTGAATAATGAGTTAGGTGACGTACTAAGAGCTTAATGTTTAAGAAACTGTATCCTCTATTCGTGGATGTCCCCAGCAAGCCACAGAAGGGCTCTACAAAGCCTTATGGACGGGCCACTCACATACCATCACAGACTGCTACACCTTCAGGAACGACATTCTCGCTGGAAAGTACGCATCCATCTGTGACAAAATGACGATGAAGAAGGTGGGATATAATTAATGTTAAAAACATATAGTTCCTAATACTAATATACTATGTAAGACTTTAAAATTTAATGAGGTGGCAAGGTTGTCCCAGTTCGCCAGCGGTTACTTAATAACGGGTACAGAGCACTGATTTGTCAGCGGTTGCTTAATAACTGATACCCAGCACAGGTACGCTGGTGGTTGCTTAATTACTGATACCTAGCACAGGTATGTCAGCGGTTGCACAACTAATGAGTCAGGTCTTGACTTTCCCAGGGGATCGACATCATTGCGCCTGGTGCTCTAGGATAGCCCAGGGTCCTAGATGTAATAAGGCTCATATCTAGAATTATCAATATTATTTTTATATTCGTTGGGAAGCATTAAACCCGTAAGTCATACAGCGGAAAGGGGGGTTAATGACCTGGAGAATGGGAGGCAATCAGGTTTAACCTAATGAAGGATAGTCTCCAGTTCTTTGGATCAAGAGCACACCCTTTTAAAGCCTTGGGAGTGTTAGAGAAACATTAGTGAATGCCTTTACGACCAAAGTTAATGGTGTGTAAGTTACCTGGAGAGAGTTCCAGGGGTCAACGCCCCCGCGGCCCGGTCTGTGACCAGGCCTCCTGGTGGATCAGAGCCTGATCAACCAGGCTGTTACTGCTGGCTGCACGCAAACCAATGTACGAGCCACAGCCCGGCTGATCAGGAACCGACTTTAGGTGCTCGTCCAGTGCCAGCTTGAAGACTGCCAGGGGTCTGTTGGTAATCCCCCTTATGTATGCTGGGAGGCAGTTGAACAGTCTCGGGCCCCTGACACTTATTGTATGGTCTCTTAACGTGCTAGTGACACCCCTGCTTTTCATTGGGGGGATGTTGCATCGTCTGCCAAGTCTTTTGCTTTCGTAGTGAGTGATTTTCGTGTGCAAGTTCGGTACTAGTCCCTCTAGGATTTTCCAGGTGTATATAATCATGTATCTCTCCCGCCTGCGTTCCAGGGAATACAGGTTCAGGAACCTCAAGTGCTCCCAGTAATTGAGGTGTTTTATCTCCGTTATGCGCGCCGTGAAGGTTCTCTGTACTTTTTTCTAGGTCAGCAATTTCACCTGCCTTGAAAGGTGCTGTTAGTGTGCAGCAATATTCCAGCCTAGATAGAGCAAGTGACCTGAAGAGTGTCATCATGGGCTTGGCATCCCTAGTTTTGAAGGTTCTCATTATCCATCCTGTCATTTTTCTAACAGATGCGATTGATACAATGTTATGGTCCTTGAAGGTGAGATCCTCCGACATGATCACTCCCAGGTCTTTGACGTTGGTGTTACGCTCTATTTTGTGGCCAGAATTTGTTTTGTACTCTGATGAAGATTTAATTTCCTCGTGTTTACCATATCTGAGTAATTGAAATTTCTCATCGTTGAACTTCATATTGTTTTCTGCAGCCCACTGAAAGATTTGGTTGATGGAGCCTTGCAGTGTCTGCAATGGAAGACACTGTCATGCAGATTCGGGTGTCATCTGCAAAGGAAGACACGGTGCTGTGGCTGACATCCTTGTCTATGTCAGATATGAGGATGAGGAACAAGATGGGAGCGAGTACTGTGCCTTGTGGAACAGAGCTTTTCACCGTGGCTGCCTCGGGCTTTACTCTGTTGACTACTACTCTTTGTGTTCTGTTAGTGAGGAAATTATAGATCCATCGACCGACTTTTCCTGTTATTCCTTTAGCACGCATTTTGTGCGCTATTACGCCATGGTCACACTTGTCGAAGGCTTTTGCAAAGTCTGTATATATTACATCTGCATTCTTTTTGTCTTCTAGTGCATCAAGGACCTTGTCGTAGTGATCCAATAGTTGAGACAGACAGGAGCGAACCTGTTCTAAACCCCTGTTGCCCTGGGTTGTGTAACTGATGGGTTTCTAGATGGGTGGTGATCTTGCTTCTTAGGACCCTTTCAAAGATTTTTATGATATGGGATGTTAGTGCTATCGGTCTGTAGTTCTTTGCTGTTGCTTACTGCCCCCTTTGTGGAGTGGGGCTATGTCTGTTGTTTTTAGTAACTGTGGGACGACCCCCATGTCCATGCTCCCTCTCCATAGGATGGTAAAGGCTCGTGATAGGGGCTTCTTGCAGTTCTTGATGAACACGGAGTTCCATGAGTCGGGCCCTGGGGCAGAGTGCATGGGCATGTCATTTATCGCCTGTTCGAAGTCATTTGGATCAGAATAACATCAGATAGGCTTGTGTTAGCCAAATTCTGTGGCTCTCTCAAAAAAAAATTAATTTTGATTTTCGACTCTGTCTGGTTAGTGGCTTGCTAAAAACTGAGTCATATTGGACTTGAGTAGCTCACCATTCCTTGCTGTCATCTGTGTAGGACCCATCTTGTTTAAGTAAGGGCCCAATACTGGACGTTGTTCTCGACTTTGATTTGGCAAGGAGAAGAAATACTTTGGGTTTTCTTTCGATATCATTTATGGCTTTTAGTTCTTCCCGCGATTCCTGACTCTAAAAGATTCTTTAGCTTAAGTTCGATATTTGCTTTTTTTCTCTGACCAGGTCTCCCTACGCATTTCAGATATATTGACCTCTTTTAGCCGCTCTGTTATTCTTTTTCCGTCGCCTGTAAAGGGAGTGCTGTCTCTTTCTTTTTTAAACATCTACTCCTCCTTTTTCTTAGAGGAAAAAAGCCTTGTGCATACATCGAGTCCCACCGAGTTAATCTGTTCTAGGCATAAGTTGGGGTTTTGTGTTGCTTAGTATATCTTCCCAGCTTTTTATCGGTTAGGACTTGGTTTACTTGGTCCCACTTATGTTTTTGTTATTGAAGTTGAATTTGGTGAATGCTCCCTCGTGACTAATTTCATTATGTCGGTCTGGGGCTCCGCGCATACTTTTCTGAACCTCAATTTTGTTGTGATCTGAGTATATTGTTTTTGATATGGTAAAATTTCTTATCAGTCATCATTGTTAGTGAAGATGAGGTCTAGTGTAATTTTCCAGTCTAATAGGCCCCTATTATTTGCTGGTTTAAATTGAATTTTTTGCAGAGATTAAAAGCTCGTTGAGTGTGAGTTTTCATCAGAGGGTGCCTCCTGGTGTTTTTTCTGCAACAATATTATTTGCTATATTCCTCCATTTTAGGTGCCTTAAGTTGAAATCCCCCAGGGGCAAGAGTTGGGTGCAGGGGCTGGAAGATTTTCCAGACAGTAGTCAATTTTTAACAGCTGTTCCTGGAATTGCTGGGAATGTTGCATCCCGGGGGCTTGTAGACTACCACAATGACTAGGTTTTGGTTCTCGATCTTTACTGCTAAAACTTCCACTACATCATTTGTTGGCATTAAGCAGTTCCTGTGCAAAACAAGTGACTCTGCAATGTACAGGCCAACCCCCCCTTCCCTTTTGCCTGTTCACTGTGTCACATCTGTATAGGTTGTAACCTGGGATCCATATTTCGTTATCCAAGTGATCCTTTATGTGGGTCTCGTGAAAGCCGCGACATTGCCTTTGCCTCTGCAAGCAGTCCACGGATGAAAGGTATTTTGTTGTTTGTTGCTGGCTTTAGACCCTTTTATATTTGCAAAGAAGAATGTCATCGGACTGGTGGTATTGTTGGTACTGGGGGGGGGGAAATTTTTTCCCGGCATTAGTATCTGTATCTTTGGTTTGGAGTGGAGGGCCATCGACTGTGGTTCCACTTCAGGAATGACTGGATTTGGCGTACAATTTCTGCATTTCCTGCCAGTTTTTTTTCCTTCCTGGCACTAAAAAACTCCCCTCTTGAGGGCTGTGGGTACCCGGTTTTCCCCTGGCCCGGGGGTTTTGTATCTTTTTGTCCCCCCTTAGATGGTGTGCCCGGGAATTTAAGTTATGCACAGTCTTTCCTTTACTGAAGAG